GCCCAAGCTTTATCTACATAGCACATGGTAATTAAAAGTACCAGACTGGTGGAACTAACCTTCTCAGATGTTTAACAGCCATACTTTGACACCTATACTAATCTGATCAGAGGGACTTAAAGGACAGTTTTTGCCCCTTGTCCTCCAAGGTCTACTAAGTTCCAGGGCACTATGGTGGATCTCTCAAAATATCCTGTAACTGTGGTGAGTCACCTGTCTCCTGTTCAGGGAGGCCATGGAGACTCCACCAGATGGACTTGAACCAATGTCCAGTCTACAAAGAGGAGGGTCAACTCAGAGGACACATTTCTTCTATGCTTCCAAGTGAAGCCAGCCATGGTCGAGCAGGACCTTTGACTTATCTTTACATAGATGGAACTGGTAAAAGAAAGGAGCCAGGGGCTCCTCTCAAGCCCATGTGACCCCCGAAGAATAGATCCTCCAACGACCTGAAGAGTAAAAATAAATTGGTTTATTTGGGCCAACTATATGGTCTTAAACACCCAAAAGGAAAGAATAACTAAAGATTAAAGTCATCTGTATATTTCTTTAAGCATTCAAGGGATTATATTCCCAGACATTAGGCTTAAGCCCATATAAAATGTTATGTACACAATTATTTCTCATTGATAATTTTGTTTCTAAGCAGAAAATGCTGCTCAGATGTAAGACTTCAAATCTTGGTCTGTAATACTGTAGTGCCCACCTATAGAGCTAAGGGAGACAACCCCCTATTGTTCTAAAATGATGGCTAAATTTGTTTTCTCCCCCTATCTAGAAGTCTTTGAGAGGGAACTGACACTGATTCTAGCCACTCCAACAGCTATTAAAGTGCCTAAAAACAAATCCTGAGTCCATCACTCTTGAGTCCAGCCTTAGCAGACAAAAGAAAAATGAGGAACCCAATAGAGGGATGCTTTGGAAGCTCTCATCAAGAAATCCCAATGGACTCTGATATGAACATTTAAATTTTGCCCTGTTCTGACTTTCTGGTTCCTTGTCTAGAATTTGTAATGCTAATTACTCTTGCCTTTACTTCTCCTTCACATCCTCTATTCACCAGTCAAGAACTTTCTTTTCTCCCTACAGATAAGAGTTATGCAATTTGGGAGTCTTTTAGATAGACCCACTGAAGGGGTACCCCAGTTGCCTCACCCTGCATCCCTGTTCAGCATAGAAGCCAGAGTGGTCTGCATCCAGGTTCCCTGTCAGCAGTTTGGGTAACCTCTTCAGAGGATGGTGTGATTAGAATAGAAGGTAGGAACTGGCTAGGCAGTTAGGGTAAAAAGAACCCAAAGAAAAGTAGCCAGTTTCTTGGCTAAAAGTCAAAATGTCCTTGGGCCTCTTAGCAACAGACTCTGTTCCAAAGGCCAAAAATGTCAAAAGTATACGGGAGCTCTTATCTAATCCCTAAAAGATTTTAGGGTTACCTCTTCAGAGGGGGGAATGTTAAGAGTAGCCAAAATCCCCATGAAAGAAAGAAAGGAAAGGAAAGGAAAGAAAGAAAACATGAAGTTGTCAAAAAAAAAAGTGATGGGGAGATATGGGAGGTGTTGGAGGGGAGGGAATGGGTATGGATTTTATCAGAACACCTTATATGCATGTATGAAATTCTCAATAAAGTTTTTTTTTTAAAGCTGGGGGGAAAAAAGACGTATTTTACAAATGAAGTTATAATCCTAACACAATTTCAGGTATTACTCATTCAACAAGTTTTTATTGTGACCTGACTTGTGCCACACACCATTCCCGAAACTGGGGTAACTAATAAAAAGCCAAAAGTCTTTCTTGGTGGAGTTTATATTCCAGGATGGCAGAAGAAATGCTATCTGGGAAAAATATCAGTTCCTACTTGGAGGAGATGAAAAAGTAAAAATACACAGTTCATTAGTAGAGTGTTTGAGTACCATGCACAAAGGCCTGGGTTCAGTCTCCAGTATTGGTGCAGAGGTTAAAAAAAACTTGTCTGTAAAATAGAAGTATGGGATAAGTAATTCTAACTACAAAAGGGTAAAGTATATCAGAATGGGAATGGCCTGACTGGGCCTGCAGTTTGGGAGGATTGAGGTAGAAGGACAAAAACCAAGAAAACAAATAATTATTTAAGAATTTGGTGCTGG